TTGCCATTGAAACCTGCCTTTCTGTATATGTGCACGTGCATGTGTGTGTAAAATTCCTTCCACTGGTCCAACACAAATGCAAACCAATACCTCTTTCAACTAAAAAATGAGGATGGCTGTAGCTGGTTTCACTCAAAGACTGGCAGGCCATGGCTCGACAGTCCTTCCACCCCTGACGTCTGGAGATGAATTTGCCTGGAGGTCAGTGGGTCTAGCAGTCGAACTGTAGTGTGTCATTCCCCAGTGTTCCAGGATTCTCCCAGTCAGATGGAAGAGAGGGGTGTGAAGTTAGGGGGACCTGGGTCCTGCCTCTCCATCCCGCTACAGACCAGGGCCCAAAGGGGAGAGATGTGGAATGTCTCAGTCACCTCTTCCTGGTGCACCTTACTGGCATCCCTTGGGCTGTTTCCTACTTCCCCGACTACCTCTGCAGTTTGGTGTGTGGCTGCTGCCCACTGCCCCCTCCCCCTCCAGCAGGGATTTCCCAATCAGTGTCAGCAGCTGAGCTGGTCAAGCATTTCCCAACTCTCTTCTCCATGTTCATTTGTTCTCTCTTAGCAGGCATCAGGGGAGGGAAAAGGTTCAGGCCTTTACCCTCCCAATTGGGGTCTTACCCACAGTCCAGACCCTTCTCCTGTGGATTGTTCTGTCCCCAGGGCTGCAAACTGGCTTCCTCCCTTCAGCCATCCTCTCCTCCACTCTCTCCCCCTGCTTGACTATTAGAGTCCCCCTCTGAGCAGCTCATCCATTTGGAATATGTTCCACAGCTGCTGAAGGGCGGGGCCCTTTTGACCCAGTACTGCTCCTTCACTCCCTTAGTCTCTGTGTGGTCTATAAACTGCATCACAATGGCAAAACAAGCCTTTTAATTGAACTTGGAATTATCATTGGATATGGATTGGAAGCATAGCCTCCATTTTAAGTCAATCTGCTTGTACACTAATCTCTGATACTTGCAAAGTACAGCACTGTGACTCTCTCAGTAAGAGTTAGTCACACAAATAAGCTACTGAGGAATCTCTCCATAGGCTTTGGTTATACAAAGGGCAATATCACTCTATCGTTTCTGTTTTTTTCTCAGGCTATGGCTTAAAAATATTTGACTGGATAATCTAGTCATTTTCACATATGGATATGAAGTGTTCTTTCTATTGAGTTTAGTTTCCTTGTTATGCTTTAATCCTTCCACGGTTCCATAAAGGACATGGTCTCAAAATAGCTCACAAAGGGGATATGATGGACCCAGGTCAGAGGTGACGTAATAAAAATACCTAACTATTATATTGCACTTTTCATCCATCGATCGCAAACCACTTCACAAAGGGGTTAATAGCACCATCCCTTTACAGATGGGGAAAGTGACACATAGGGAGCAGCGACTTGCCAGGGTCACCCTATCGCACAGTTAGGAATGGAACACACGTCTCTTGAGTCCCAGTGCAGGGTTCTATCGCTAAGCCTCCCCTGCCTCTTCAGTTTAACAAAAGCTGTGAGTGTAAATGCAGGACCTTGTCTTGGCAACTTGGGATTCAGGATCTGCGATCAGAGAGGACCTAGCTATATTATGGAGGCAGAACAGAAGGCAAGGGTGTAATAAATAGCTCACTGCTGCTGGCCAGTTGTCTTCTGGTTTCAGTTGAGATGAGTGGCCTCACTTGGGTGGAAATTCAAGGATTCAGGTGAGGGAGGGGAAACAATAGTCCATCCAGGAGGAAGTAGGGGAGTGAAATCTGTCCAGGAAGAGCAAGCTGAAGGGAGGAGGGGAGGTAGGAGGAGTCTGCTCGTGGAGAGAACTGCTTTCCAGACACAAAGAGCCGAACGCGCTGCTTCCAAAATAACAATAAAAGGGCAAACATAAAATCTCCCTGAGAGAGACAGCGAAGTCCCTGACAGTAATATCCTCCAGCCTGAAACCCCACAGAGCCCTGCCCCTCCCACCTCAGCAGATAGGCAGGAAGACTTTTCGGGCCTGATTATATAGTAGTTTATAGCCCTGACAATGCAAAGGGCCTCAAAGGTGGTGCAGATGTAATTTATGGCCACTTTAAGTCCCTTTTACATTGTAAGAGCGATGTAAAGTAGCCTTGGTGTAAATTACAAGAATTAGGCCCTTTGCATTTACACCCACCCTTGACAAGAAACTGGACTATGGCAATTCTTGTTTTCCTATCTGCAGGTTCCTCAGTAGTGTTTTCATGCTGTTCCAGCTGAATACCACTGGCCCTGTGTTCTGGGGTCAGGCTGCAATATTACAAAGCCTAAAAGTCATACTGATTTATCAACTCTTCTTGTGTCTTGCTCAGCCTAATGTAAAGTGTCCCTTATCTACTCTCTAATTGCTTTTCTCTTCCTCCCCCCCAATCTCCCAGTAATGATATGGTAATGTTTTTCCTCACTTTCATTTTTCATCTTTCATCACTTTTTCTTAATATTTTGTCTACCAATTTTCATTACTATCACTGGTTATTTTACTACATCTTCTGACTTTTGCCTTCCTTTGTTGTCTTTCTCTTTGGCTGTCACTAATCTGACAAAAACAACAAGGAGTCCGGTGGCACCTTAAAGACAGATTTATTTGGGCATAAGCTTTCATGGGTAAAAATCCACTTCTTCAGATGCATGGAGTGAAAGTTACAGATGCAGGCATTATATAATGACACATGAAGAGAAGAGAGTACCTCACAAGTAGAGAACCAGTGTTGACAGGGCCAATTCAATCAGGGTGGATGTGGTCCACTCCCAATAACAGATGAGGAGGTGTCAATTCCAGGAGAGGCAAAGCTGCTTCTGTAATGAGCCAGCCACTCCCAGTCCCTATTCAAGCCCAAATTAATGGTGTTAAATTTGGGCTTGAATAGGGACTGGGAATAGGCATCTTTGCCTCTCCTGGAATTGACACCTCCTCATCTATTATTGGGAGTGGACTACATCCACCCTGATTGAATTGGCCCTGTCAACATTGGTTCTCCACTTGTAAGGTAACTCCCTTCTCTTCATGTGTCATTATATAATGCCTGCATCTGTAACTTTCACTCCATGCATCTGAAGAAGTGAGGTTTTATACCCACGAAAGCTTATGCCCAAATAAATCTGTTAGTCTTAAGGTGCAACTGGACTCGTTGTTGTTTTTGTGGATACAGACGAACACGGCTACCCCCTGATACTAATCTGACAATTTCCTTGTTTTGCTAATGGAATTAGAGAAATATATTATAAAACAGGAGTAGTACCGCTCTCAGCACGTTTCACACTCCATCCTCCATTGGGTAGTTTTAGATGTAGACCTGCTTACAGAGATTGGTGGCAAAAAAACCCCCAAATAAATAGGTTGATTCCATTAATACTGTGTTTTGATAGGTTTCTGGATTAGTTGTGAATCAACTAAGGATTTGAGAAGAGAGACAGGTGACGACAGGTCTGACTTGAAAATAAATATTCCAGTTTATGTCCACTGAAGCTGATGATATTTTAAATAGGTCTGTAGGGCTTATGTTACCCCAGAACACATTAAATGACAGGCTCAAAAGCACATCTGCACAATGTTGGAGGAGATATGGGATTGTTCTTCAGTTGGTGGAGAAAGTGGTCCCTGTCCAGGAATGGACTCTGGTCATTTTGCATTACTCTCCCAATGCCAAGTGGCCCTCCACCCAGCTGCTTCAACCCTGGAGAATCTCATGTGTCAGGGAATCCTCAAATGGCCTATAGCTGCTGTGAAGTCACCTTCCTCATTGCTACAGGGAGAATGGTTAGGAGGACCCCCTTAGTCCAGCTGGTCCCCAGCTGCCTTAACATTAAATTGCTGAGGCTTAAGAAACAAACAAACAAAAACTTCCCCCATGTTATGATTCTTTTTCCTGATGAAAGGAACAGACCTCTTGGAATCAAGCTTCCAATGCAACTACTTATAAACCCAAATTTGAAATTGCTCTTTTGGCAAATGTTCGTAACAGTAAGATCATTTGTGAGATTTTTCATGGAAAACAATCACCACTGAAGCATATTCGTTTAAAAATTCAAAAGAATATTTGGGGGAAATGAATGTTCAATGAGAACAAGGCATGCAGGATCAGGTTTAACTTTTCTGAATATCAAAGACTTGAGGTGGGTTCCATTCATTTAAACCTTTGCTCAAAATTTGAGACTTTGTGGGTTTATTCTAAAGAAGCCCAATCTATTTATGTCCCTAAATTTGGTTGAAGAATTTTTTTTTTGTTAAGCATCATAAGGAGTCTATCTGTATATTTTGTTAATGTTTCTGCAGGTCTTAGCACTCATTTTTCTTAAAATATAAACTAACACTCACCTTTTAATTTCTAAAAAAGAGAAGATTCTTGAAGGGCATCACATACATACTGATCCATGTGCTTTCATTCCTTACTTGTTATTGGCCCTACAATGAAATAAAAAAGAGCAGCTACCTACTGTGGCATGATACTTTTAAAAGCATTTTTCATCCAATTAAGACTGAAATTGAAGAACCAGCCAAAAGATTATGGCAAATCTTCTTTATTGGATATGATGAGCTAGCAAAGCAAAACAGTTATATTATTTAACTTCCCATTTCCTCATGCTGTGGTGACCCAGATTTCTAGTTGACATTGGCTTAAGTGAAATCTAGAACTGGTCAAAAATGAGGGGAGAATATTGGTGAATATACTGTACACACATACATATGAAAATTGACATTTTTCATCAATTTCAAAATCTGAAATATTTCAACCAGCTGTCTGGCTGGAGAATAAGGGGGTGTGGGTGTCCACACATTCATTTTATTTTCTGTGGTTTAATCAAAATAGGAAAAAAGTATTAACTTTTTTGTCAATTGAAATATGCAAAATGTTGACCAGCTCTAGTAAAAACTAAATCAAGCAGAGAAGCCACTGATATTGTCATTCAGCTTTCATGTCTACTTGCAGCCCACAGGATGAGAAGTACTAAGCAATGACCTGATGGCGGTTTTGTTTGTTTTTTTGTCTCTCTTCCCCTCTTATGTCTAGACGAGGTGTACTGCATCTGCATGAAAGTAGTGGAATCCATGACCTTGGCTCACCCCGATGGCAGCTCTCGCTGTGCCTCTTGGTGGTAGTAATAATTCTTTTCTTTAGTCTGTGGAAAGGAGTGAAGACTTCAGGAAAGGTAGAGCTAATATTGCTCTTGTATCTCAATATTGTTCTTTGTCCTTTTTAGAAAGTGACTTTTTGGGGGGCGGAGGGGAATAGGGGTTGTAAATCATTGTACCTAAGGGTGCCACTAGGACCAAAGCTTTAGATCTTTGTATATCTGTTCTACAAAGTGGAGTGGACATTTCAAATACAGCTCCTGTTTTATCTGACTCAACAGTTATGTCATCTTTGCTCCAGTGATGTCCAGCATTGCAAAATTCTGTTAGCTTTTTAACTTTAAGTTCAGTATTAATGGCTTGATATAAAGCCCATTAAAGTCAATGGGTGAGTCTTTCCTTTGACGTCTGTTGGCGTTGGATAAAGGTAAAGATTGTCTCTGGTTCTCTGCAAAACTTGCTTAAAGCTTTCATTGTATTGTTTAAGGGCCTTTGCTTTTATTAAATAAACATCCATTCTAACTTAAACACTTTATCACTTCCAAAGGTTTCGGCAACTATTCTTTGAAGTACCTCAAGAGTTGAAATAAAACCACCTGGATATTTACTTACGCACCATTTGGATATTTTGAAATTAAGACATTAGACCTTGACACAACTCTATTCACTTGCTGAAAAGGAGTTTCTAGCTTCCAAAGCTCAGAATATTTTTGATTTTGATAAATTAGCTACCACCGCAACAGTTTTCATCAGTTAATGTTCATGTACCGTGGTTGAATTTCAATCATGTGGTCCAATGCACAGCCTTTCTTTATTCATTCAATGCACAGCCCTTCTTTATTTGGCTTTTCAATTACAACAATAGGGTTAACCCACCATTTATGCCATATATTTTCAGTAAATGCCAGCATTTCCTCATTTTCATGTTGATATTTTACTTAATTGCTTAGAATAAATGGAACATTTCTTGGCAACGTGTGGTGAATGAATCAATCTCAATGTATTGTTTGCTTCCAGAAGTCCTAGCTGTGGAAGAGATCTGAGAATTCTTGCTTTCTGTGGTTGCTTTTTATATTTCTATGGTATTTACAGCAAATATCTGCTCATGTCTACTTACATTTCTGGAAATAATTCACACTGAGCTTGCTCAGAAGTTTAATATGACCATTAATAATATAGTCGTTCCACTGCTGACATATAATCTCACTTGCCTAACCCATCTCATACTTTAACATACTACCTATCTTTACTTGTGGGAATTTTCCTAGTCTGTGTGACTGGTAGCTAACAGTTCTTTTTTGCTAGGACAATGCCCCTTATGATAAACAATCAAGACATCCTCCAGACAACAGAAGAGACAAATGCAACAAAGGGACAGCCGGATTCTCCAACATGTTTATAAAACTTCCTGTTTGTGTAACAGTAGATTAATTAACATTTGGTGTCTGTTTGTTCCCTGCAGGTTGTGTGGATAACAGCCACTTTGCCTTACGTTGTATTATTTGTATTGTTAATCCATGGAATCACATTGCCTGGTGCATACAATGGAATAAATGCTTACCTTCACATAGATTTCAAAAGGTTAAAAGAAGCTACGGTAAGTTCTCTCCTCCATCTTTGCTTCCTATAATGAAATAATAGCCCTCACAGAACCTCCTAACTATTGTCAGAGTTAATAGAAATGGAAGCTGTTATTAAATTGTTAGTGTTCGTTTCTAAAATGATGTATTTGTTTGTTGGCACATGAACATTACTCTAGTTTCTTTACTGTGCTGAGTTTCTGGCTCTCTGATGGTGAGGAGAGCATCAGGGAGCCATATCAGGATGGATCTGTATAATTCTGGGCATTGGTACTGGTAGAATAGTCTGGGGGCTGCTTCAGTTTATTCCTGCTTCCAGTGGTCCCTAAGAAACCGTACATGTTTTGACCACACACCCTACCTATGATGAAGTGCTTCCTGTCTGGCCATGGGGTGGTGCAAAGGCTCTGTGCCAGCGGAGAGCTCCTGCATGCTGGGGAAATAGTTGGTAAGATCTGGTTATTTTCTGGCCCTTTATGTTGAACAGTTGCTAGTAGAAGATAATGAGCGGAGCAGATTGAAATTTTTCCATTGAAAAATAATGTCTACAGAAAATAGCTTTTAATTGAAAATGAAGATTTTCATGGGGGAAAAATAATTTTGGATCATGTTTCTCAGTTTGAATAGGCACTTGAAATTTTGGGTGAGTATCTGAACTGAGGTTTGGTATTGAATACCTTACTTGTCAGGGCCATTCCAGTGCAAGCCATTTTATTGTACTTTATAATGAAGTACTGTAATTGTAATTACTGTATATTACACAATACGGGGAAGGGGCGGGAGTGATTTCATTTTCCTTAATGTCCTTAATTAGTAAGGAATTAGCAACTTGAAGTACACGTCTGTAGCTTTTCCTGACGTAAGTCAGCCTAAGCAAATGTGCCCACATAAATTCAATTTGTAGCCAATATAGTCCTATAGGCCTTAGTGCCCTGAGAACGTTCAACCTACTGTATATTAGAATAACTTCTGCCCTCCGCCCACAGTATTAAAAAGATCTTCAAGTCAACTCACTCAAATTCGTTATGAAATTACCAGACTTTCCAAAGCCCCAGAGGGCGGTAATTTAGTGATCACAAACGGATTTTATCCCAGGGCTTTTTGTTTTTGTTTTTTGTTTTGTTTTTGTTTTTTACTTAGTGGAGAAAAAAGAACCAGTCCTTAAACAATGGCATCCCCTTGGTACAGACCAACCTGAAAATGTTAAGTGCTTTTCAAATAGATACAAAATAGAAAACTGGAAAAACATGAGAAGAAGAAACAAACTGGCATGAAAACACCTAAAGAGAGGCCCATCAGAGTTAGAAAAACTAGACAAAGTTAATACGAAGCCTGAGTACCAAAATCCAGGACTACTTCAGGTATTGTAATCAAAACAGCCCCTCCACTCCTCTTTTTTTTTTTTTTTTTGTAGTAATGTTCATTTTATCTGCTGTGTGCAGCAGCCAATATTTAGGGCTCCTCATTGACATTGCAGTATAGCACAGCACATTTTCAAATCTGAACCCACTCCACTTTGGGGTGCTTCGAATCCAGATCCAAATATTACAGCTTGAGCCACATCTGTCACCAAAGCAATGTCACGCTCATCATACGAGAAATGGGCTATACAGACACACACCCATTACTGTATATTACACAATACGGGGAAGGGGCGGGAGTGATTTCATTTTCCTTAATGACAGGTTTCACAGTAGCAGCCGTGTTAGTCTGTATCCGCAAAAAGAACAGGAGTACTTGTGGCACCTTTGTTAGTCTCTAAGGTGCCACAAGTACTCCTGTTCTTTTTTCATTTTCCTTAGTATTTTAAGTGATGTTTGGAAAACAATAAATATTCAGGGTCAGATCCTCAGCTGTAAGTAAATGGAGCTATGCTGACTTCACACCAGCTCAGGATCTGGTCCTCAAATTGTGTTCTGCATTTGTAGACCGTATTTGTGTATTGCTCTTTTGGGCTTTAAGTTTATACAGCTGCTATTTGGCTAGCCACAAAGATATTTGTTTGAGACCAGGTTTTCCAGATTACTTATATAAAAGAGAGAGACAGACAGACAGAGACAGAGAGAATGCTTGCAGGATGATGAAAGATGGAAGACAGCTTACAAGGAAGAGGAAGGTCAAGTTGCCTGTTGAGTTGTTCTTTCTGCAACCCCCTGTTGAGGAGGCTGGGGCCCCTGCTGGCTCTATTGACGTGTTTGTGTGCTTAATCCTTGTTATTGGGCCTCTGGGAGATTTGACAGCTGTCTGAGTACCAGTTCAGTGTGTTTCTGAAAGAGTCTTTGACTTATGAATATTTTTTCCCCTGTGAAGAACAGCAGCAAGTAAAAGTCACAGATAAATTGCGCTGTTCTACAATCTGCTCTGCCACTGGTTCAAAAGTCCTAATGTAAAAGGCATAAGGTCCTCTCATGCCAAGAGTTTATAGGGCTCACTATGGCAAGGTGTTCAGCAACTCGTGAGAGGCTTCCATTGCCAGTAACACCAGCACTGTGCCGGATCAGACCCATCAAGAATGCAGATAGAAATGTTGTTTTGAAGGGCTCTGAAGGAAACAGGGCCTATGTGCATTCCTTGTTGAAAGTCCAGCAGCACAAAGCTTGATACTGTTGGCTCCACGGCACAAAAAGCAAGTGATTAACTTAAAAATTGGTGTAAATGGCAGCTGTACTTCTGTTCCACAAAAGGAACAACAGTGGGTGCTTAATAAAACTGGAGCCATCAGCAATTCTAGGCCAGGAAGGAGGTATTTGCTCCTTTGGACGTCATAAAAAGTTTCCTGAAAATTACATCATGTCTGGGGATTCACTTAGTATTTCCCCTTCCTCTCTGTATGGTGCAGCAATATTGCAAGTCCATACATGGAAGAGAAAGTGTAGGAACAAAAGTTAGAGTAATATAAACAGGAAGGAAGCTTGGAGTGAAAGACTGGCTACAACCTCCTAGAATTTTTTGTAATGGTACATAAAAATTCAAATACTATAGGATACAGTTAAACTGAATCATGGCATGAGTCAGAAGTAACTCTATTGAAATTAGTAGAATAACATCAGTGTAAATTGTAGACGAACCCAGCCCTATTGTCTCTGTGTTGCATCCTGTTTGTTATTACAAGGAATATTTTGCATGGAACCTTGACTTTTTAGTGACTTGTGTCTTCTGCTGCGTACTCCTTATCTTGATCCGCACAGCAGCTAATTGGGTTAACACAGAGGATTATTTCAATCCAAGGTTCAGATTTAGCAAGGCCCAAAAGCACATGCTTAACTCTAAGACCATGCTTAAATCCATCGCTATACAGCATGTGCTAAAGTCATCTTAAAGCCAGTCAGACTTAAGAGCTTTTGAATCGGGCCAAAAATACAGAACTAGTGTAAGCAGCTACAAATCCAGTGGCAGGACACAAAGTGGCAAAGAGCCAGTGACCTATTAAAAAGCAATAGAAGGACCTTGTGCTGTCAATATGGCATTCCCAAGTATAGTTTATTTTTAAAAATTCCTTGTGTTTAGACTTTGTACAACTTTTCCAACAAGTGGGATGCGGAGTGTTAGCAGCACCAGCAGCTGATAGCAATACATCCTAGAGTTTTTTTGCTCAACCCACACCCACGGGTGTTTTAGCCTAAGGCTGTATTTGGCAGATTCAGCTAAACCCAAACATTCTGAGTCTGTGAGGTGCTGAGTACTCTCAGCTCCCCTTAACTTCAAAACTTCTTGGGATCAAGCCGTGAGTTTTTGATTTCTCAATGTGACACTTGAGGGCAGAGACGTTTGAAAACAGTTCATCTGAACTCCTCTGCCTGTATTTTCAGGATCCTAGTTTAAAATCCAGTCATTGTCTCTGGACATGGGCTATATACAGTCTGAGTAGATGAAGTGATGGGACTTAATGATTATCATAAAAATAATTCTTGGCCCTTTAAATGAGTGAGAATTGAAAAGGAATCTCTCTTAGAAGTCCTATTCACAGCATGTCAATCAGACTTCAACCTCTGATGGAAGAAAGCATCATATAAACTGTAATTACAGCCCCTTGCAATAAACTCTCCTTTGGGAAAGGAAAACATTCCATAACTCCTAGCCTGTTAACTATTTTTATTTCTGACTGTGCAATCCAAATTAACCCAGCGCTAGTGGGAAGTGTATTGCCACAGCACAGCAAAAAAATCAATTAATCGTTTCTGTACTCTGTGGAAGTTCAATAAGCAACCAGCACTCCTATAATGCCACTCTGCACATACTTAGGTTTTGCTATTGCTTTTGAGTTTGCCTCTTTGTTGAAATAGTCCAGTCCTTGACTGTATCCCATGCCTTGGTTCTTGATGGGCTGGGAAATATTTATGGTTCTGTAGTCATGGAGAGTGATCAGATATTATTTCAATAGATATCCAAAGCTAGTTCTAACTGTACAGTTCTGTCATGCCACTCAACTTTTCTCTTTTAAACTGAGCTAACACATCTAATAATTTTCATCTTTCTGTAGGTATGGATTGACGCAGCCACTCAGATATTTTACTCTTTAGGAGCTGGATTTGGAGTTTTAATTGCATTTGCTAGTTATAATAAGTTTGACAACAACTGTTATAGGTAAGAGAGTCTATTTCTCATTACTATTTGATCATGACAATTGGTTTTAAAAAGCTTTGATTTCAGACTCACTTTACTTACACTCTGACACCAAGGTTCCAATAAAATATCTGAGAAATTTGAAATGTATCTAATTTTTTATGTATTTATTTCTTGATACATATTTCACAATTCAAGAATTCTATTTTCATGTTAGCTTTGGATTTTTTTTTTACTTCTGATTTTCTATATATAAAATGCTATCCTATATAATATACCTATAATATAATAAAATATATCTGTTTTATATAATAGTATGTTATACAGGTAACAGGTATATTCTATTATTTATTATTATTTATTTAGCCAGTAGAACTGATAATTACAACCTAATATGCACCAGTGTACTTCATTCACTTAATTGTGATTTTATTATTGACAGGCATTTTGATTTGGACCTGAGAACCAAGCCAAAACTTGAACCAAACACACCCAAATTACCTCTTTGCTGAAAGTTCAGCAGTAAGAACCTACAAAGTTATTGGCTCTCCTGTGCAAAAGTACAGGATTAATTTTATACTTTAGACAGCTGTGTAAACTGCAATTATATTTGTCTTTCACAAGTAGCACTAGAGACAACAGAGAATATTAAATGAAATCTGATTGGTCCACAACCCCAGAGAAGCAGGAGGATGTTTCCTCCTTTGTTCAAATTTAACAGAAATGAGGGTTTTAGAGTCAAATCCTAAAGGGATTTTATGTTTTGGGATTACCTATTTGTGATTTTTTTCAGTAGGCCTTGATTCAGCAAAACACATAGTTCAAGTTCAACATATGCATACGTGCTTTGCTGAATCAGGGCTATTGTGCGTAGAGGTCCCAACCAGGGCTGGAGGTCCCATTGTGGGAGACACTGTACAGACAAATAGTAAGCGACAGACACTGTCACTTTACATTTGAATGTCAATCGTTTGAATGTGTGTTTTAATTGTTCTGTGTGTGTCTACTATGCTGCCTTATCAAAAAGACCTATAGAATGGAACTAGCTGAAAAACTTTGAATTTTGAAGGGATTTGACCAATCAAAGGGATACTTTTTTGGTACAAATTTTAATTAAAGTGTCTCCCCAAGGACTCCATTATTTTGGCTAGTTTGGCTTTAAAGGACTCACGTTCTGGGGCATTTCATTTGCCTAGTGTTTGTGTGTGTGTGTCAGCATTTGTGGGCCAGACTGACTAGTCTCTTTGAAATGCCCTAGCTATGAGAAGTGCAAAAAGCACTAAGAGTGACAAGTAAACTCTAAAATGTCTTTCAGGTTTCATAATGCATTGCTTGTAAATCCAGTTTAGGATTTTTTTCAAAAATATAGATTTTAATGCAGAATATTTTTAATGCAAAAAGAGAACAAAAATGGAGTTCCTGTAATATAGCCAGAGGAATAAACTGGAGTGACTGAAAATACCCATAATGGAAAGCATCAGAGAACATCACTGCATGTTAGATAGTCCTGGGCTGAGTGCTAACAGTTACCTACAGTAGCTCCTTTTGAAAATATCTTAGTAAAAGCTAGGAAGCAAAGGGCTTGGTGGTGACTATAGAAACAGCCCTGAGGGGTGCATAAGCCGCACCATCCCAGAAGTAGTTGCAGGAGGCAGGGTGTTGAGACAGACCTCTCAATCACAGTACCACATCACTTCCCCCTGCTCTAGACGTGTAGTAGCTTGCCGCTGGTATAGGCAGCACACCATCAGCTCAGCTGCAATGGGCAGTGGGGTAGAACCAACACTCTTCTCCACCAGCCTGCCCAGAAGGGGAGAAAGTGGGCATGAAGCCCATGAAGGGGTATAAGAGAGTCCTTATTCCCTGCCTGGGCCAGTAGCCTAGTCATGGGTCTCACCAAAAGGGCTTGCACAGACACACTGTGACACTTGATTGGTAAGCCTGGTTTAGAAATATCTAATGTTTGCAGGAATATAGTAGTATATATTACCGTGAAGAGGAAAATGGGCACCTACCATGCCTTTAACAAACACACCTATAGCAGTCTATAACAGACTATATAGATTTTAGTTTGCTGAAATGGTCTGTTAAATTTGTTCAATTCTCTGAACACAGGGCTTAATCCAAAGCCTTTTGAAGTCCACGGAGAGACTCCAATTGATTTCAAGGAGCTTTGGACCAAGCCCGCTGTAACTTTAGATTCACAAGTGGGTTTCATGTTAGGTGACATTAATGTGAGTAATGCTGTAGTAAAAATGACACCTGTAATAATAGCTATTCTCCAAAGTGGCAATCATTGCATTCTACAATTAGGTTAACATTAATCTTACAGATTTCTAGGAAGCCTGGCTTTAAGACGTTTCCTACATAATTGTTTTATTCTGTATCCTGAGTAAATTTGCCAGGAAACAGAAAAAGAAATACACTCTGGAACTTAAAAAAAAATGCCTTGAGGCAATACCCAAAATTACATTAAACTGTGCTGAGCTTATTACACTTGTCTTATGTTGTTTACCAGCATCACTCTTGCTGTATTGTAGAGTGATCTGCAGTGTTTCTAAAATATTATGTTTTATCTTTAATCCTATAAACAAGTTTCCATTCAAAGACAATTGACACTTAAATGAATCCATTCTTTGGAAAAATACTGTGGAGTATGTCAGTGACATCTTTATTACATGGGCAATGCTTTACTGAAGTGGAACGAAACAAATTGAAACTAGCATTGTATTTCCAAATAAAAGGCATGATTCACCACTACATTACCCCAATTGTTTTGTGTCAGCGGAACTCCATTGAAATCAATAGTTACGCAGGTGTAAACCTGGGGCAACGCAGTGGCAAATCAGAGCCAGAATCACAGCATTTTGCCAACTTCTATAGCTTGCATGTAAATCTGTCACTTGAAAGGGGTAACATGTGCAGTTGATCATGCAAAAGGAAAAAGCTACTTGCATGTGAGTGTTCTATAATTGAGGGAAATGGTAATGATGACCTTGGCCATAATATTTCACAGATACTTAGCAACTTTTGTCCTAAAGGAGTCCAAAGAATTTTACAAGTATATAGTGTGAGTTAGTCCTTCCTCTGATGTACACACTACTCTACAGCAATCCAGTCAAGTCTGGGGTGCAGTGGGGTAATTAAATGTGACAGATGTGGAAACTCTGGCTAAGGCAAACTCTGTCATTAACAAAAGCACTATGGTATGAGTGGTGTCCACACACTGGAGACCGGACCTCAATTTTAAAGGTCTTCTCCAACAGTCAACTGTATGGAACTCATTATATCTACTTCTAAAACAGATCTATTTCAACAACCCTGTTGTGGTTTGTTTGATTTTAACCAGGGGCCCATGAAGCCTGGGTATTTCCTACTTAAGGCTGAAAGCATTGAACAATCCTCTGTGGAATGGAGTTCATGACGTGACTAAAGCCAATGAATCATATTACTTACATTTTTCATAAGGCTTGTCTTTATACCACTTGTCAGGATCATGACCAGGACGTGGGCAGTTGGGCCTAACAGTCGGAGTCATAGGGGTTGCGTGGTCTGGGGCTTAGCACAGAGCCAGACTGGAGTCAAGGATCAATGCCAAAGGACAGCCATGGACGTAGATGGGAGCAGAGCCAAGGGTCAGACACAGGGATCAGAAGACGAATGCCAGAGCCAATGGGCTAGCTGGAGACATGGTCGGGGAGCTGAGATGGGGGTCAGAGCCAAAGGTGTCAAAGATGGGGAAGGGCTGGAACTGAAGTGGGCACAAGAGGAGGCTGGGCATGGGCAGGCACAGGCTGAGTGGGAGAAAGAAAAGGCACAGGATGCAGAGTCAAGCACTCTGGCCACTACTCGGCCAAGGCGTAGCTTAGCTCTGCCATCCCCACCAGTCAGGAAGTACAGTCAATGAGGCAGGGCAGCTCCTGGTAGGGTCAGCTATGCCCAGTGTGTTGCTAGACCGATCCTGCTGCAGCTGGCTCCCCGATGCCACTAAACATCAAACATTCACAGTTCTGGGGAATTATCATGCTAAGGTGGAACCTTCTCCGGTGCTCTAGGGGAGTGTATTACCATAATGTTACATTGAAGAGCTGGCTAAACTTTAAAAAAAAAAAAAAAAAGTCTATGACGGACGGATTTGCTAGAGAAAATTTGAACAGAATAGTTTACAGCGAACAGCCTGTGAGGTATATTTGCAGGTGTCATTATGAAGATGACAGCTTTGCAAAAGACAATGAGATTTATAAAATCTTGCTGTTACTGATATTTAACAATGGGGAGGAAAGGGGGAAACATTGCCAGCCTCTGACTCATGAAATATCTAACAAATTATTATCACTTTCTTCACACCACAAATAAATGCTAGAGCTAGTGCAAAATGGGGGTGGGAGGGTGGGGAGGAGCAATCTCCTCTTTTTGTAAACAGTTGGAATGTCAACAAAAAATGTTCAGTGACATTTTGAACTTCAAAACCACATGACCAGTTGTAATACATACATTAGGATGGGGCTGACATTCCAAATTAATGTTGACAACGGTGGCCAGATTTAATTTTGACATAAATGTACATAACTCCATTGAATTCAAAGGAGGGTTGTCTGCTTACCCCAGGGCTGAATCTGGATTTTCCTTTGCGGGTCCTGTCATTGATCTAAAACAAAAGCAGATTAATAATAAAGTTATCAGCATTTTTGTCAGATTCATGACTAAACTGATGGTTACCTCTTTATATTATACAATGATGATGGTTGGGTCAGATTCCAATCTCACTGATGTCCATGGGAGTTTTGCCATTGATTTCAATGGGAGCCAGATGAGGTCTTTCCATGCATCTTATCTGAAATGCCTGCTTAACTGGAAGGATTGATGAACAGATTCTATGCAATACCTTGAAAATGGCATCAAAGTTCACCAAAATTCATATTTAGGGTGACCAGACAGCAAGTGTGAAAAATCAAGACAGAGGGTGTGGGGGTAATAAGAGCCTATATAAGAAAAAGACCCCAAAATCGGGACTGTCCCTATAAAATCGGGACATCTGGTCACCCTATGCATACCTGATGTTGTCTGAAAACATTCACAAGAGTTTATAGGTATGGATTGGTATTTGCTAGTATTCATTTCCCCATGTAGCCTTTTGTTCACTTCTGGTTACTTCCCTGTTCCGTTATTGCTGCCAGCTAAGACCATCTTACAATTTAATATAGTTTTTTAAAATTTTTGAACACAGATTAATTTCAAAACAATTTAGGAAATAACAGTGGGTCTCTCCCAGCACAATATGCTCGTGTAAGCCTTTGATCATCAGGATGATTACTTAATTGGCAGTTTCTCTTTTCCACCAGAATTTTATCATCATAATAACACAATTTCTACCTATTTCCTAAACTGTTTTGCACTCAATTGTTCTTCTCTCTGTCTCATATTAGGGATGCTTTGCTGACTAGCACAATCAACTGTGTCACAAGCTTCATATCAGGATTTGCAATTTTCTCTATACTGGGCTACATGGCTCATGAGCACAAAGTAAAAATTGAAGATGTAGCCACTGAAGGTAGGAAGTTCATTTTACTCCAGATTTACTGAAAAATTAACCACCTTCTCCAGTGCTGCCCTGCACATTTGTTTATGTTCATTTCAAATTAAACAAGACAAAGAAGCCCACCTACAATGGACCCAGATGTGGCCCTGATTCAGAAAGCTACTTAGGGTACATCCACACTGCAATTGGGAACATGCTTCTCAATGTGAATAGACAGACACACTGGCTTTGCTTGAGCTAAGACTCTCAAAATAGCAGTGTAGCTGGATGGAGCACAGGTGGTGGTTTGGGCTAGCTGCCCAAGAACGTACTCTTGGGGCTGCACAGGTTTGTACTCAGGCTGGTAACCTGAGCTGCTGCTTGTGCTACCCCTGGCAACATGGCTATTTTTAATGCACTAGCTCAGGCAGAGCTATCATGTGTCTGTCTGCTCACAGTGGGAAGCACAGCAGACGTACCTTAGGCACATGCTGACTTTGAGTATGTGAGTTGTGACCTGAAGGGGACCACTCAAGTGCTTCAAGGCAGGCACAGGCTTAAGCACATTGTTGAATTGGAGCCCATGCAAGGTGTTGAGTGGTCCAAGCTCTAGTGAGTTGAGGGTGCTTCGCCCCTGGCTGGAAGCACGTAACACTTTAAAGGGTCAGGTCTGTACTGAACACATACATAATCTACTGAGACAAGTCTACTGGCTAGTTCCATAAGTTACTGCCCTACTGGGTCAGACCACGTGCCAGGTGCCCCAGAGGGAATGAACAGAACAGGTAATCATCAAGTGATCCATCCCCTGTTGCCCATTCCCAGCTTCTGGCAAACAGAGGCTAGGGACACCCAACTCCACACAAAATGGCTGTGAAGTGAGTGGGAGGAGGTGGCCTCCCTTATAACATTTAGCCAGGGGTTAAGGTATTCACCTGGGATATGGGAGACCCTGATTCAATTCCTCCCTCTTCTTGGTAAGGGCAAGGGATTTGAAGGAGTTTGAGGGGTCCTTGACCTCTCAGGTGAGTGCTGTAGCCACTGCACTCAAGGATATTCGGATGTGTCTCTCTTTCAGTCTCTCTTGTTGAATGGATTCCATTTTGCATTTAAAAAAATAAATAATTAAATATTAATTGGGCCAGATAGAGTGTGAGACTGATTCTGTAGTTGCAACGCCTAAGTACTTTTGTGCATCTGGGCCTGAGACTGGCTTCAAAAATCTAACTGGCTTCAAGACTGAGCTTGACAAATTTATGGAGGGGATGGTAGGATGAGACTACATACAGTCACATGTAGCCGATCTGCAACTGCTAGCAGCAAATATCTCCTACAGCTAGTGATAGGATAATAGATGGGGAGGGCTCTGAGTTATTACAGAGAATTCTTTCACAGGTGTCTGGCTGGTGGGTCTTGAACACATGCTCAAGATCTAACTGATCACCATATTTGAGATCAGGAAGAAATTTTCCCCTGGGACAGATTGGCAGAGACTCTGGGGGGGGGGGGTTCACCTTTCTCTGCAGCATGGGGCATGGGTCACTTGCAGGTTTAAACTAGTGTAAATGGTGGATTCTCTGTAACTTGAAATCTCTAAATCATGATTTGAGGACGTCAGTAACTCAGCCACAGATTATGGGTCTATTATAGGAGTGGGAGGGGTGGGTGAGGTTCTGTGGCCTGCAACATGAAGGAGGTCAGACTAGATGATCACAATGGTCCCTCCTGGCCTTAAAGTCTATGAGTCTAAGTTGTTCAAATACTATGGTGAGGGACACCAATATAAGAATCTAGGTAGGTCAAATCTTATTTTCATGAACCTTTTTATAGCTTTAAAAATTTAACAAAAGCCTCCGTGCAGAAATGAGTTTTTCTTTCCTCTTGCTTTTCAGGAGCTGGATTAGTTTTCATCCTTTATCCAGAGGCCATTTCAACCCTTTCGGGATCAACATTTTGGGCAGTGGTGTTCTTCATAATGCTTCTCACACTGGGCATTGACAGTTCCGTGCGTATCTTCCATGCCTGTCACTTTTCCTTTAGTAACATTCTCTGGTAACAAGTACGGAGGCACCAGTCTGATTCCACTAGGTTTCAGAAGCCACGTGCTGTGCTCTCAATGTATCTGTTTTCAGAGTTAAGGCCAATATGCCATATAGCATTGCACACAGCAGTTTGTTTAGTCACAGATTCACAGTGCGCAAAAGGCTTGGGAGGGCCAACTAGTTTATGATCCTGGGTTGGGCTCAAGCAGCAAAAGTTATTACATTTTAAGGCTATGATACTGCATCACTGAAGCTAATGAGAATTTTACCATTCATTTCTACAGCAACACACTCAGAGCCTAAAAATGAACTTGGAAAAAACATAGGAACAAGATGCTGAATTGCCTGCCTATGGTTCAGTACTATTTTGTATCAGAGATTTCTACTTCCCACAACATCCTAAATGATACTCATGACACAAAGACTGAGGATAGCATCTAATTATAGCTTTGATTTCCTATCATATGGAACTGTATTGAGATACTTTCCTTACAACAATAGTCTCATTGTGATACTTTTTTAAAAATCAGTTTCATTTACACTATTAATTTGTGTTTGTTCGGTGTCTTGGCAAAAGGCAACAATGTAATCTGTATGTTGAAAGATAATAGATATTTAGGAATGGTAAAAAATGAGCACTAAGATAGGTTGCCTCATTTTACAGTTAAATTCAGTTTTAGATTTAGTGTCTGAATTTCATTCAACATGAAGGGGGAGTATTTGTGCTGTCTACAAAGTGAAAGTATATTGTCTTGGGATAAAAAAGATAACAGAAACTTCAACCCTAGATGAAATATTCTAAGTACCCTAACAGCACTTGTACCACCTTGTTCTTGCCAAAGAGGCATCAAGATTTCCTTTTCTACTTAACATAAAAGCTAATTTTCTTCTGGGAAAAGTAAATAGGATCTTTAAAGAACAGAACTCTGATCAGTCTAGTCATGTTCATAAGGATATTTTTACTATTCTAAAATAAAAATTGCCAAGAAGAAAGTTAACTCATTTTCAAAAATAGAAAGGGAAGGAAAAACAGAGACAAGAGAGGGAACAAAGCTGGGGGGGAAAAGAAGAGATCACACAAAGGAGCTTTGATAGTCATCTGCAAGTATTTGAAGGACATATTCTAGAAGGGGTCTGAGCTGTGAAGTTCAGCTCCAGCTCTGAACTCTTCCCAACTCTTTGCATTCTGGATTTCACTTCAGGCCTGTTAGCGATTAGATCAAGTTGTAAAATTGAGACTCTGGAATCTTATTGTAAAAACTTGAGGCAAAGTCAGATCTTGGGTTCCAGTCTGGACCTATTTGTACTGTAAACAAACATGAAGGAAGGAGAAGAGTAGATTAGGGTGGCAAGAATGACCAGTAATAATGAGTCAAAATTAAGAAAAGTAAAATCTAGGTTGTATATTATAGGTTGAGCTCTACTAGGCCCAATCTTGCAAACATTTAGGGACTTGTTTAACTTTACCATGGTAAAGCACATATGTAGATATTTGAAGCGTCGGCACCTTAAATTGTAGAATAATAATTTTTCAGTGGAAGGGGTCAAATTATTCAAAGTGGATAAACTGTGGTAAATCTAGCATTTTCTTGTTCTTGATTAGGCTTGGACGTTTGCCTATTTATTTGCTCTTCAGAATTATTTTCTCGCAGGAGAAGGGAAGGGGAGTTGTCAACACTACTGCACTGAACACTTATATCTTAGTGACATCCCACCACCCAGTCACAGGCCTTTGAAGACACTGACATGCCACTGAGGGAAGACCAATCCAATGTGTGACTCCTTCGGTTATAGAACCTCCTGTTTCAATCGACTAGCCAGACATATAAAAGTATTTACCCCATTCAATGTCATTGCCATCTACATGCACCATCAGCAAGTCATTCATTTTATAGAGACATGCAGAGCTTTGGTTTCATCATCCTGCTACATGGAGCACAAACATGGCCATTAAAACAGCTGAGGAGAGGAAACTAAACAGTTTTCAGTGTCAGAAGTTACAGTGGACTCTTAACATCCATTGGTTTGATTTTTGTCAAAAACAAGGAGATATTTAGATAATCCAGGCCAGTTGCAATCTTGCACAAGTTGAGAACAAGATGACACTGCAATGGTGGGGTCATGTGCAGAAGAATGTATGGTTTTACAGAAGTTTTTAGAGTTGAGGCTGAAAGAAGCAGAACACAAGGCCGACCATGAATGAAGGAGGTTGGAAGATGCAATTTTGAGGGATTTAAGAATCCTAAATCCTCCCTGTCATGAGGTGCTCTGCTCACTGCTGTGTAGTGTCCTTGTGGCCCATCTGGGGATGAGCTCACACCCAGTCTGATGCCCCCTCCTTCAGTTTCTTGCCCCATGATCTCACACTCTTTTTCTGGAGTCACTCCCTCTTCATGGCTTGGCCCTCCAGCCAGGTTACTATCATTTTGTCCTTCCAGGGTATCAAAGTCCCATTAAATGACTGTCCCAGGCAGTCTTCTGCTCCATTGTCCAGTCTGTGCCACTTCCCCAGCCAAGGTCTGCAATATCCTAAACCTTTCTGCTGTTTCCCTGGACTGCTTCCTGCTTCGCCTCTATCAGGCTCCTTCTTCACCCACCTCTAGGTACACCCTTCCCTCAGGTCCAGGGCTTCTATTCTCCCCCTGGTTTGCTCCTTTCCTTCTGTAAGCCCAAAGAGTGACTGCAGGCCTTCTGTACTGCAGCCCCCTTCTTGCTCTCTACTTCCTGGTTTTATAGCAGCTTAGCCTTCTCCTTGCCCAGCTGGGCTTCATCATCAGCTAAAAGCTTATCAGCCCTGACTCTCCTCCAGGTGCAGCCTCTCACAGGGTTAATTGGCCTTTTTCTCTCCAGTCAGGCTTGTGTGGGATAGGCACCCCACCCCAGCCCCATGCTGACTCTTGCCGAAAGAAGAAGTCTTCCAGGGGACGGTTCAAGATGAATTCCATTCTATGCACCACCACAGCTACATCAAAGCCACATCAAGCTGCTGCCGCTCATAATTATTTACTGGTTTTATGCAAGCAACTGTGGGGTTGTTTGCAGACTGTTTCCCTTGATTACCCACTCTACATGCTGTGAGCTCGGTCACCTAGGACATGTGGTATTGTTGCTTATCCCTGATTAGAAACTGAAATTAAAAAAATAGAGAAATAATTCATCAACTCCCTTGTTCATGTACAAAACCCCTTATTGACATATGGAGAGAGTTTTCTGGAATGCCCCGAAATGGTTATGGAAAGAGAAACTTCCTCATGAACGTGTTAGTGGACAGCAAATTAAAAGGATTAGGAATTAGAATGAATGTCTGTAATGTTCTTTTCAGCATGCAACCATCTCTACATAGGACATTAACAACGGGGATGAACAAAGCACTAGATTAGGAAGCAGTCCTGAATGAATAGGATGGAGTAGAGAATCTGAAGGCTACTTTTCCACTTCTAACTTCTCTGAGTCTCTCAAAGTAGCCATGTAGTAAATCTTTGTGACCATGAAAAATATTAACCCATATTTAAGCAGTGCACTGAGATTTAACTGTACGATTTCTGTTGATGCTTACAGAAGTCACATGGATAAAACCCCACACTATGCTTTGACATTTTACTCTTGCGTGTCAGATTTGCTAAAAGAATGTTTGCCCTTCCCTCTGCAGCCCTCTGGTTTCTGAAGTGTATCATTCAGATACTACCAAGATTATTCTCAGCAATTGATTTGAAACAGAGATGTTGTTGTCTCCAACCTGCTGCCCTCCCTCTCTCACCCAACCTCCAAGTATTTGCCACATTTCTCTTCCATGTGCAGGAAATATCCTATATCGAGTCTCCCACGATTCTTAAAGAAATTAAGATGGCTTGTTCATCCCTAGCAGGAGCAGGGTTGGCCTTAGGGGTTGGTGATCTGGTGGTTGCCCTGGGCATGAGCTTCCAGGATCACCAAAGCAACAGCA